GGGGGGGCCCATCCGCCAGCCGAGATAGTATGGGGCCCGCCAGCCGCTGTGAGGAGGGAGGCTCGGAACAAGGAGGCACTGAAGACGGCCCTGCAGGCACATGATGGGACCTTGGACGGCAGTGAGGACCCAGCAAACAACTGAATACAGAAGAGGTAAATAATTCATTAAAATAATTATTTGTAGCCTAATGTTGTAATGTTGTAAAAAGTACTGTTGCAGCGATGCAGAATGGCACCCTCTATAGAGGACTACAACTCTCAGCAGTACTTTATGCAGAAATGCTATTGTTATATAAAGTATTGCTGGGATGTGTAGTCCTCTATAGCCTGTGCCATTCTGCATTGCTGTAAATATTAGGGATGCACAGATATATCGGCCGCCAAAACATATCGTCCGAAAATGGTACTTTTGGCTAAATGCCGAATTGCCATTTTTCTGCCGATACAGTGGCGCATCCCTGCTTTTTTTCCTCCCCACTGGGCGCTGCTTTGTGTCCCAGCGGGGAGGAGAGAAAGTGACAGCCGGCTGAGCACCAGGGCCCTTTGTTCCTTAGGTCCGCCACTGAATAGAATCATGTAAAGAAAGAAAAGTTAGAATGGGTTTATACACTTTAACCTCTTGAAAGTGTACTTTATATTTGATAGCGGTATGCAAATACAAGGCTATCTTTATAACATTTCTATGTATGTGTGCGCATACCTAAAATGTGAACAGGTGTAAAAGAAATTTCCTCCAGAAACAAGCAAGCACTCTTGGACTCCGGATTACTTTATGTCTTATTCCCGTTTTCCACAGCCTTCATGTGAAAACTGCTGGCTTTCATGTGTCAAGCAATACACAGCACTGATTTATATCCCCAAGTGTTCATTTCGTGAACATGAATTACACTTTTAATGAATATGCAGTTATTTCTGGGGAATTGAAAGCCAATAAAATATTTTGCTGTCTGTACCCACATATCATGATTTAATGGTCTTGTTATATAGGGTCTGGGCTCTCGACCCATTACACGTCAGCGGTATAACATTTCCTGTAACCTATATAGCCTCTTATAAAACCTCAGGCTTTGGCTGGCCAAGAAACTTACTAAACATAGCACTTCATTTCCAAAATCCAGCAGGGACCTTCTATACATTGTAACTCTGGATAAAGAAATGAATGTTACCTTATAAATTACAATGCAGCAGCTGCACCACATAAAAGTGAAATATTCACAATATGCGAGTTAACAAAAAGAAAGAAAAAGGAGACATAAGGACAGCTAACTATTTCAAGACTATTCCACTACATTTTTGGCCTTAAAAAGACTGGGGTGCTGCTAGTGAAAGGTGCATGGAAAAATGGTTTAAACTGATAATTTTCTCAAAACTGCAGATTAATGAACTTGCTGTCAATGCATTTTCCTATGGTTTTATGCACAGGAAAATTGCTTAGACTTTTTTATTTAAAAAAGGCATTAACAAGCACTTGAGTGTGCTAAAATCTGCTAAATATAAGTTAAAACACACCCACATCTAAAATAGATAATGTAAAAATGTCTTCACTTGCAGTTTCTTTCTAGTCTCCTTTGTTTAGAGCGGCACACTGGCTTAGCCTGGTCAGCACGATTATCATTATAGAGATTGTAAGACTTGTGTGTGGCTCAAGCACCAAATGTCTCGACCTTTAAACTTTGGCCATATCATAAGATGACTGGGTATCAGCCACAGGCTTTGCTGCATTTTTAGAGCATGTGCTATGATACAGCTTTGTTTCATGGTCCTGTTTCTGTTCCCAAACTACTCAAAGTTAGTTACTTGGAAGTTTTCCAAGTTTTTTTTTTCTTCTTCCATTTTAAAAACATGAGGGGAATTTATCAAAACTGGAGCAGACAAAGCCTGGAGCAGCTGTGATTAGCAACAAATCAGCTTCTCTCTTCAGTTTAGATTTGAACATGAAAGATAGAAGCCGATTGGTTTCCATGCACAACTGCTCCAGAATTTGTCTGCTCCAGTTTTGATAAATCTCCCTCACAGTATTTTTAAACCCAAAAAACTTTTTAATTTTTTTTATTTTAGACAGGCTAGAGGGGAGTTAAAACACTGAAATGTGTTTATCCCATCTAGTCTGTCCTGTGAACCCAACAGGATACCTTTCCAAAATGGGGGAAATCCCTTCCTAGACCGTTGTCATGCCAACTAGTTTCCCTATTAATAGATTTCCCCTCCATTCCTGCTCTGGTAGCAACTAAAAATTTTGGTCACTCCCAGTAAAATTGGTGATGACAATTAGAGAGGGGGAATCTCCAGAACAGGAACACAACCACCAAAAAAAACAAAAAAACCCATAACGAGTTATCTAAAAATAAGCCTGTCAATCCTTTCCAGGTTGACACATGGAAAAGGGCCAAACACCCTTCCGCCACCAGCACCAGTATTGAATGACCCATCAGATCTTTTCTTACTCGTGCTTTACCATTTGTGATTTAGACCGCTAGATGCACATGTACATTTTAGTGTGTGGGACAAACCATTCAGCCCTTCCCTCAGGAGGTTAAACAAACACAGGTCTAACATCAAACTATTGTTTGAGACACTTTCTGGTGCACCACAACAAAGACCTTCACCTTTTATCTAAGGAATGAACTTTAATTCAAGCTTTAGCTTATTTAATGTTTTTAGCAAACAAGTTTTTCCCTTTTGCAAACAAAAGGAGGACCAAGACCACTTCAGACAAGTGTGCAAAGCTGATACACAAGAACCCCAAAAGATTTGAATATGCTTCTGCAAGAGAAGGCTCTATAAAATACTGGAGTGGGGGGGACTGAAAGCCCATGCGGTTGATATGTCTGAGAATTTTCTAACCCAAAATGAGATATAAAAAACTAAGTTTTGATTTAATTGCACTGACAGAAAATATCCGCTACAACAGAGTTACATTGTAGGATTGGTTATTCAATAAAATGTGGATTAAAAGGTCTGAGTAATTTTTCAAGGCACTATAAAAAACCGAAAGCAAATTATATATAAAGGTCATGGTAAAGTGACTTCTACGAAATCCAGTTTACGCAAGATTATGGTTATGATGCTAATCATACACTGACAGAACTCTGATCTTTTCTGACAAAAGATAACAGAAGTTGTTAGAATAGTGAGTACACCCCCAAAAAAATATTTTTTTACATTTTTTATTCTAGAATATATTTTTGGCATATATAATATGAAAAACTGTCCCCTATTTCCCCATGCAGTACAACCGGTTCTTTTTTTTGGTTTTATCATGTTCTTGTATACTGCCCATGTCAGTGTAGCATTGTATATTTATACTTAGTGGTATTATTCTGAAACCCACAGACAATAACAAAACTGTTGATGAGACATATGTTTCTCTTCAATGTCTTATGAATGTAAACAGCTTGATTTATCCATAGCTGCACTTCAAAAAAAGACATACTTTGTATAAATATGCCTGTTTTGTGTACATTATTTGCCTATACTACTAGTTTAAATATAAACCGTGTACATTTGTGGAGTATTAATGTGGCAAAGAAACTAAAGCTCACCACCAAATTACAAGCAAGCAAACAGCTTGTAAAAGAACAAAAGCTCACAAACAGTCATGGACATCTGCATTGCCAGGGTGAGTCATTATCCTGATTTGCACCAGATCCTAACAAATCTGGTTGCTATGGTTTCCTTTTTGCTAAACAACCAAGCAGCTACTGACCACGTATGCACCGCGGCACTACTATAAACCTGTATAACATTGTTTACTAACAACGTTTATGTGGTAGATCGGTATGACAGTAGAGAATGCGTAAAGTTATGGTATTACCCATATTTGATTGCCTCAATTAGACAAACCATAAAGTTGCAGTGGTATGTGAACTTTTTAACACCAGTAGAAAAAGAGTAAAGTTGTGATAATATATATGCCCTACAAAACAGGTGCCAGTGCATTCTCTTGTAAGAATCAGCAAGTTGCTGACATCCTGCCGAGTCTCAGTATAGTCTTTGCGGCAGATTATCCCAGGCAGCGCCAACCCCAAAATATGCAGCAGATAAAAGGCAGCACGCTTCATAGTTTAGCCAGGTAGGTTATTTTATTTAGATCTGGCATTCTAACCTGTTCCACTGATGGCAAGCATACATCATATTGCTTTGCTACTCTTTAAATATTGGAACAGATATTGTACAACTGTACCATTTCACTGTGTATAGGGCACCGAGGGATACTGGTGGGGTAAAAAGCTGGTGGGCTGGAAAATTATCTCCAAGTTTTCTAATGTTACCGGGGACCTTTGGACCAGTGATGTGGCAGTCATATGAAAGAGACTTTCACAAAACAGATCAACTATCACAATACACTAAATTACAGCCTTAATGTCTAAGAAAAAAAATGACTCCAGTACCTGCAAGTAAATTTTCTTCAACCCAGGAATACAGTCCCCAATTCTGCCAGAAGCAAGCCGACCAATGCCAGATGTTGCTCCAATGCAAACTAAGATTATCCATGTTCCTTTGTTGTCCGCAAATCGTTGCTCCACAAATTTTATCTAAAAATTAAAAGGATTGAATAACTAACATATAAAACACAATTTTTATATTTTCAAGTGAATTTCTCTGTGAAACTTTAGTAATCTGCATGGGTGTGTTGGAAATTATTGCAAATAAACAAAAATATCAGTTTGCACTAAAGTAAAGCAAAGTGGCATACATAGTTCGAATGTTATGTTTGATTTGCTTAAAAACATCTGAATTCTATTTAAACCATCTTAGCCTGATTTCTGGGAGCTCCTCATATGTGTAGTGGGTGGGTCTGGTTCCGACAGCCTGTGCTGTGCAGCTTGTGAATTCTCTGCCTGACGCATCACCTATCGGACTTTCTATATTTCCAGGTCAGGTTTGAGGGTCTATTCCCACCCAATGTGTTGGGGCTACGCTGGGTGTTTTTTTGAGCGCAGCCATTACACAAGACGAGGCAATTTGCCTTGTTCCAGGTAGGCTCAGTTCACATGCAGTACTTTTTTCAGCACAGCCCAACATGATACAACTGCATCATGCTACGCTGTGCCCATAAACTTAATGAAATGTCACCTGTAACACAAAAAAATATTTGTACATTACTATTGATAACTATAAATGGCATTCTACCACACTAATTCTACACTAAAGATGTACAGAACTTGCCGCATTCACTAAAAACAATAGAGCTAAAGGATTCCGATCTTTAATGGAATATCTCTATGCCTTAGAGTATGCAGTCATATCTGACATGGTTTACTGTAACTCTACCCAACAGCCCTTGCTTCTATGAATCATTCCTACAACCAAATGAAAAATGTGTTACATGTTTTCACAGACACTTATTCTGAATCCACTTGGCTCAGAAATATTCCTACATTAGTAGTGATAATGTATACTACCGTATAATGCATCTATATAGAAATCTTTTTAACTGGTCTAATTTTAGTAAACAAAGATGTGATTGGTTGCTATGAGTTTCTGTGCTTGGTACATCAGTGTTCTGTGCAGTGCTTAACTGAATACACTTAAAGAATGATTGTTTAAATCCACAAGTGATCTTTTGTATATGGCAAATATTTTCCTGTGAATTCTAAATACCAGGGTCCTCACCATGTGCCCTGTTTTTAATGTCTGTGACGTTTAAAGAAACACTACATTGTGCACAACTTGGTGGATAATAATAATTATAGTACATTTGATCCTGTTAACAGCACACATTCTAGGTTTACAATTTGCTCATTGGTAATTCTGACATACCAGGTGGACATAAGGAACAAAATATCCCAAAACTGTTGTGGCAATACCACAGGCCCAAATTCTGTAGGTCTTCTTCTTCCACACTTGCATGTTGAAATATTTCCGGATTTGTGCGAGACATTGCTGAGCTTTACTCCTTCCAGCCACTTTCTCCATCTCTTTGTTATAATCAACTGGTGGAGGTAAAAGGGGCTTGAATGTGAGAGAGAGGAATATCTGAATGAACATAAAAAGACTTAGCACTTGAAATGTGTGTGCCAAGCCAATAGTATGTCCCATGGTCTTCAGCAAGAAAGGAAGGCACATTGTGAACACACAGCCACCCCCAGCCACAATGCCATTCGCAAGACCGAGCCGCTTTTTGAAGTAGTGACCGAGAATGACCAGGGAGGGCTGGAACGCAAATGACGATCCACATCCGAAGAGTATCCCATAAGTTAAATATCGAACACCCAGGGATCTGTTGGAAAGAAAACACAACATGATGTTTTCGATGTTTTAGATTTATGCTCATTATCAACTTATTAAACTCAAAAGCTGTATAAACAACCTACAAAAGTATATTGTGGAATAAACCGAAATGCCGATATATCGAATAGACCAGAAATACACATATCTAATGCAATCATTATGTAAGCAACATAATGTAAGGGCTATGTATACATTTTTCTTATCAATTTAAATAGCATAGGTATACTCATGAGCATTTTAAAGACAATGGTAAAATCAGATTTGAGCTCTTCCAGGGCACATACTAATATATCTATGACAGCCACACAGTCTCAAAAGTACAATTTTATGTGAAATCCTGGAACCTCAGCACCCTAGGAAATTCCACATGAGCACATACAAATCCAAACCCTGGACTGCAGCAAGCTACTTCCGACTTGTTAACTTGGAACATTGCCCACTTCAAGGGGCAAGTGCTCTGAAGTCACATAAAAATGTTGCCCCCGAAGTAGTGGCATAGACATAAGGGCAGAGCTATGAGAGCTGTCAACACGTGGGAAGTGGCTAGCAGGTCTAGTGCAGAGGTTTGGGAGGACGGAAGAACACTGATGCTGGTCTATCCGATTAGCGTTCTATTGTAATGCACAGAATAGTTTGACTGTTCATACAAGTGTCTCTGGTTTTATCGTGATTCAAATTTTAATTATGGAATGCGCTAGATTTGTCTTATTTTTTTGCTTTATGAGTTACCAAGCTGGGAAGAAGGTCATCAGACAGAAAACGTGGGTATTTGTGCATAAATACTGATACTAGCATTAATACCAGTGATATCTAGAGTATAGCAGGCAGAGCACAAGCCATGGGCACCACTGGAGGGTGGCGCAGCACCACTCAGGAACAGTGGTGGTGTTTGCCCCTTTAGTTACGCTGTGCCTTATTCAGACCACCAATCAGCACAGACCTGCAGTGGCATTAAGTGTAGTTGATCCAACTGTCACATGTAAACAAGGAGCCGGGGGCAGGGAAAGTTACACTTCTCACTTCCTTTACCAGGCTCTGACTGATCTAATATACAAACTGACAGAGGACATGAGTATTGTCGGTATTTCTAAGCCTCTGCTTCTTGTTTACAAGTGACGCCAGTGATTAGCTGTGATGTCTGTCACAGCAATCACTTCAGGTCCGCGGTAAGGGGAGGTCTGGATAGGGAACAACTTAAAGGCCTGCATTGTGCCACACCAGATTAACACAGGTCACCACAAGGACATATAGAGAACAATTGTTTTCTATGTGTCCCATTCACACCACAAGGCGATGGGCGAGGAGCTGAGCTGCAATAAAATCCAAATGGTGACCAAGGTAGTTGCGCTAGGATATATGAAAAAATCAGAAACCAAAATACAGAAAAAATAGAAAAAGATATAATAATATCAAAAAATAATAATATAAAAAAATATGATCCAAATGATTATAATCCAGCTGCAGCAATATCTATCGAAGTGATCAATTGTGAACCAGTGTGCTGCGCTTGGTATTGTGATACGTGCTATATTTATACCACAAACATCCAAACATGCTGCATTCTATCACAGTGCACTGCATGCCACGAATGGAGTGTACACTGCACATAAATGCTGCATTTCAGTGGATGGGCTAGTGCATTATGACAGCTCCAGTAGTGTACATTGTATTGAACACTGTCAGAGATGTCACCATTTAGAATGTTAAAAAAAAAAAAAAATTATGTGGAGTACACAATGTATACAATCCATTTAATTCCCCATATGGCAGCCACACTGCCTCATTCTAAATGTCATGCGGTATGTTCCCTATTCCACACCGCCTTATTCTATATGCCATGCAGAATGATCCCTATTCCACACTGCCTCATTCTAAATGCCATGCTGTATGTTCCCCATTCCACACCGCCTCATTCTATACGCCATGCTGTAAGTCCCCTATTCCACGCCGCCTTATTCTATATACCATGCTGTATGATCCCTATTCCACACCACCTCATTCCATATGCCATACTGTACGTTCCTATTCCACACCGCCTCATTTCATATGCCATGCTGTACACTCCCTAGTCCGTGCTGCCTCATCTATTCACCTTGTTATACATCGTTATATTTTGCACTGCCTCATGATATACACGGTGCTGTGCATTCCTTCTGCACCAGCCATTGCATGCCCTAGTACAGCAGCTCTAGTGTGTATGTGTGTCTCTGGGTGCGCCAGAACTGGAGTGTCAAATGTTTGGATGAGGGTGTAATTTAAGTGTTTGCCACAGGTACTATTTACCATAGATATGCCCCTGATTAACACATGCTTAGAAGAAAGTTCCCAAGCGTGGAAGTTTCGCATGCGGAAACTTACGCCTAAGTCCATGTAAACATACCAGCATGTACATGTGTTTACCCGCGTACAGCATCTTTGGTACATACATTCCTATTAACAGAAAAATGCAACAGCTGGGGATCTCAGCGTTGCATATACAGGCATATCTTACACTGTATGCCAATACACCTGTATTTGTGCATCTGTGCATGAACCCTAAGAGGTAATAATAGCAAAAAGTAAGTAAGTTAACCACTACTGCCTTAGGCACTGAAAAGCTCTATTCTTCATATTTTCTTTTTGGCCTTTAATTTGGAACATGCTTTCCTGTAAATGCCAGCATATAAATTACAAGTCCTCTGTAAACATGGCCCCATCATTTATTCTGGCAGAAACACATGAGTTTTCCTCTAAGATGCATTTGACCTAGAATACCACAGTACAAACAAAAAAAAACAATATGAGATTTAGAAAACAATAGACATACGTGGTGAATGAGCTACATAACAATCCAATGAATGCCAGTGCAGCTCCTCCTGATGAAGTCTTCCTGCAGCCCAGCCTGTCTGTGAAGATGCTCACTACTGGAGAGCAGAAGAAGATCATACCCATGGCCAGAGAACCGACCCAAGCTGTAATGAGAAACAGGCTTTGTTATTGCCAATGCTGGCCACAGATTAGAGGGCAATTAGATGTGCAATCATGGCCCAAGGTTTCCATAAATATGTCAAGATATATTTTGCCATTTTTTTGGTAAAAAGAAAAAAAAAGCTCTTCAGGAGGTGGTTGCTACAATGTGCCAGTATGCACAGCACAGCACAGCTTTCCTGCCTGTCGACAAATAAATAGAAGACTTCACTGCAACTTTAAGATCAGAGCTTCTGTTATGTATAATGTTCCAATTGCCATAGGGATGCTAAAAGTCAGTATATATACCAAGCTGAGAAAATTGTAAATTTAATTTCATCTAGCACAAAAGGAATTGCTGTAAAACCTACATCAATCTTCAGACTTGAAACTGACAAAGTACTACAGAATATTTACACATGCTGGTTTTTACCAGAAATAAAGTGCACATTTTCCATTGTTTGGAAAGTACTGACAGGATGACAGGAATCAAAGCATTCCCCTAACTTGCATGTGAGACTGTGATAATTGTACGTCTGTCTCTGTTTTGCATCAGAAGGCACTTAAAACATGATGTCAATTCTAATACCTCCTTCATGAAAAACATTCTGATGAGAGATGAGTGAAAAATGCGAGTTGTATGAATTTCACAACTGGATGGAGTTAGCTTTGGTACTACTCAATTAAGTTACTCAGACTACCTTTCTACTATAATTGCAGAATTATTCATATTTGTTAGCATAAGTAGTAACCTTTACTGATGCCAATGCCTCAGGAAACTCTGATCAGGAAAAATTTAGAATCCTTGATACGCTGCTTCACCCGGTACTCCTAGCCGGGAACTGACGGCTCTGAACTTGGAAATGCTCAGACTAAAAGTGTGTGTTAGGACTACAGAACACCTCCTGCTTGCCATAGAATAGGGTGAAGTGTTCTGTAATCCATAGCAAGAATTTTCAAACAATTCTAATTTATAACAGTGCATTACAGGCAGAGAGCACAGGAAGTTATCAACACGCACGTTTTCTGGCAGGTTTATATAACAAAACATTGTTAGGGTTTACATAGGAGTTCGGTGGAAGGAGAAGATTTCTTAACTCAGAAGGAAATAAAAAAAAAAAATTACAAAACACATTCACACAAAGCACTACAAACTTCAGACTGGGCTTTTATGGCTGTAATGATCTTCTGTACCTGTCAGGAAGCACTAATGAATTTCTCCATTTTACAAGCAGTAAATTGAAAACAAATTTTCCAAGCACCAAAGCAACTCTCCCTGTTCCTTAACACAAACCCCTGTGCGATTACATGCTCTGTTGCTTTCAATAGCAAGGAATGTTTATTTTTCCTTGCCCACCATGAAATTACCCAGATTGACATCTTCTACACCAAAACTACAGATGGTATTCATACAAGTTCAGCCGTGAAGTGGTTCTATTATCTAGTTAACTCTTTCTTGACCCTTGAAATGCTTCTCTGTGAATTTAAAATATGTCAGAGGGAAAGAAAAAAAAATGGTGACTTCTGATTTCCTCATAGCACTTAGCCTTTAAGCCCCCATAGAAAGCACAGCTTGGCTAAGTGCACCTTGTCCCCCTACCCCTTGACAACGTTCTTCTTTGTTATATGAAAATGTGGATAAGATGTCTAAACTGCCCTGTATACAATCTCTCAGACCTCCTGCACTCCAAGTTCTTCTTTGCAATGTGGCATATGACACCACTAAGAATGAAAACCATGCTCAGCACATGACCTATACAGGAAAGGCAGAGATTTTCATACATCATTGTCTTTTGAACTGAAAATGAACGCTGGAAGCACCTAGAGCTGCAGCTAACGATTATTTTCAAAATCGATTAGTTAGCCGATTATTAAGTTCGGTTAATCGGATAAACAATAAAATACATTTTATAAAATGGCTCCAGTGATGGGACTACTAGTTTGTATTGAGATTGTAGTCCATCACAGGAGCAAGCTTGGAGCGGTGGAAGTAAAAAAGAAAAAAAAAAAAAAGTGTGGTGTGCAATATAGTGAAATAAAGTGTAAAATTATACAGCAATGAATGCAGAATGGCACCGGCTATAGAGGACTACAAATCCCAGCAATAGTACAATATACAGCGCAATGCAGAATATCACCAGCTATAGAGGAACACAGCAAATCCCAGCAATAGTACATTATAGCTGGCGGTATTCTGCATTGCGCTGTATAATGTACTGTTGCTGGGTTTTGTAGTCCTCTATAGCCTGTGGTATTCAGAATTGCACCACTGTATAATGTATTATTGCTGGGATTTGTAGTGCTCCTCTATAGCTGGTGGAATTCCGCATGGCTTTGTATAATGTATTATTGCTGGGATTTGTACTCCTCTATACAGCGCAGTGCAGAATATCACCAGCTATAGAGGAGTACAACAAATCCCAGCAATAGTACATTATACATACAGTGTATAATGTATTGCTGGGATTTGTATTCCTATGTATAATATACAGCACGATGTACAATCAGCTATAGAGGAATACAAATCCCAGAAATACATTATAGAGCACCATGTGTGGAAAAGCGCAGGCTTACCTGAGCAGTCTTCCAGCAACTTGCTTCTGAGATCGGACCTGTCTATCTGCCGCTGTCATCCCCTCACACCTGCTCCTCCTTACTACATCTCCCCGCGTCCCTGTGCCGATCGTGGATGCGGGAGGTGTGAGGCAGGAAGGAGGTGCGGCGTGCAGAGCATGGATTCGGGCGGGCGGGTCTGGCAGCGGTGAGCGTGAGTTGGGGAGGAGGTGCGGCGCACAGCGTGTGTGTAGCCGTGAACAGGGCCAACTGATCGGAAGTCGATTAATCGATTATTGAAAAAGTTGACAACTTTTTCAATAAATCGATTATAATCGATTATGTCGATAAGTTGTTGCAGCCCTAGAAGCACCAAAGGTTTGAAACACTGTCCTAGCCTTGGACAGGCAAGGCGGTGTTATATATATATTTTATCCACATAAAGTGTATGTTACCCCAGCATGTATTTAATAATTTTTTTAATATGTATTGGTATGTCTATTTTGAGGTTTGGAAATGTAGTCTTTTTTCTTTTCTTTATTAATTTGCAGAGAAATACCTGGTGATCCTACCAGTCCCTCTTTGCTGTTGCAATTAGACTACGCCAAGCAGGGAAGCGGATCTTTGTTGGCGTGGTCAATTTGCATCCCTCAGTGTGCTACTCTGAGCCACAGGGCACCATGCCTGTAGTCCTGTATTCAGCTTTGCTGCCATGCCCCCTGCCCAGCACTGCTCTGGCCGGCACAATGTATATAGTAAGGAATGCATTTCCCTGCTTAAACTGACATTATTAGCTGTCTCCCTCATGCAGTGAAGACGTGTCCCCAAGAGATCTCAGTGACCGGACCGCCACACTCTACCTGGCACTGCTTAGTTATGAAAACCAAAAGGTAGCCGGGCCATCTGTATTGTCTCCTGTTGCTGCCAGCCATGTGTGCAGGGCATATGTTTAGGGAGGATGAAGAGCAGAAGCTTCCCTTGGAGCATCCCTGCACCAGCTTTCGTCTTCCACCCTGCGGGAGCATCTGGGGGAGCTGTGAGAGTCCAGGAAGAGTTGCTCTAAGGTAATTGGGATGTGGGGACAGATACCCACTTACAACACATCACACCATCTGTGCCGCTGTCTCAGTTGGCTAGCAGGAGGTAGCAATGTAAAGTCTTTCAGCCGTCCACCCTTGGGGCTTTGGTCACGACCACAAAAACAAATATTAAAAAAAAATTTACATTATTTTAAGCACTTTATTTGAATAGCATTTTGAGCTTTGATTTGATTGACCTTGCATGTACTTAAGAACAAAACTTCAGGCAAGCCGTTAAACACTGTTCAGCATGTATGTTAACTGTTATATTTCTCAAAGGATTTGTAATTCTGTCTAGCCAGTTTTGTAATTTACCCAATGCACAGCTAGACAGGCAACAAATGTATTTCCTAACTAAGCAATTAAGTCACTCTGGTTCAGCTTTATGGCTTCCAACGTCACCCAACGCCTCCAGTCTCCTCAGTAGACAGTGAATTAGCAACATCACCTCTGTGCGGTAAACAAGCTCAGAAAGCTGTTGGAAGTAAGGCTGGGCACACACCTTACAACCATCGCAAGACTTTTGTCTTGCGATGGTTGTAAGGTACTTAAAAAAACGTACGATCTGCCTATCTTGGACAGGCAGATCGTACTTGCGATGATCGCAAGTCGCTCCCCCCTGAGGGGCGTGCTTCTGATGACCGCAATGCCGAACGGGCAGTGTGCGCTTGCGCACACCGGCCCATCCGGCTTTTATCTTACGAACATGCTACACACCCGCTGAACATCGTACGATGCTCGGCGGGTTTTCAAACATGTTCGTAAGTTTGATATTGGGCTGTGCGGACTCTCAGCTGGGTTGTGCGGGGTCTATGCCGGGCTGTGTGGGGTCTCTGTGCAGTCCCGCTCGGCCAGTCCGCGGGTTATGGCAGTGTGGATCCACAGAAGGACATATTGGGCCGGCACTGTAAACAGGTGACGCAATACACAGGAAAGCTGCGGGAACCTTGGCAGCCTTCCTGTGAACCCCGGCGCCTGTTTACAGTGCTAGCTTCATTTTTAAAAGCGAGAGGTGCGAGAGCCCCATGAAATGGCTGGCAGGCTGAATTCGGCCTTCTGTTTGACATATGTGCTGTAGAGGGATGTGGTGCATGTAGGGGAGGATGTGCTGCATGTAGGAGGAATCGGATGCCTGAAGGCGGATCTGTTGCATGTACGGGGGATCTGTTGCATGGAGTAGGGTCTGCTGTATGTAGGGGGGATGAATGGGATGGTATTCGTCTGCATTTCTATATAATGTATTGCTGGGATTTGGGTCCTCTATAGCTGGTGCCATTCTGAATTGCTTAAAGCCTGAAGACCCCCAGAAGGGCATTTGAATGAATGTTAATAACGAAGACATTGGGGGAGGGCGAAAAATTTTGTTCTGCCCC